GATTTGCAACAAAAGTCAAAGATAATAAAGTTTCTTTCAACATATAAATAACAAGAAAAAAATAAAGGAAATGGTGCACTAAATAGAGAAGACAGCAAGCAAGTAACAAGCAGAAGAGAGAAAGCAGAGCTGCTTAACTCATTCTTTGCAACAGTCTTCACGCAAAAAGAAATTATAGCCCAATCTACCAAAAACATAACTGTAAAAGACAGACTAGAAATAAAAATTAAAATAAGCAAGAAAATGGTAAGAGAACACCTGTCTGTTATTGATGAATCTAAATCACTGGGACCTGAGGACTACATCCCAGAGTTCTGAAGGAGCTGGCAGATGTTATCTCAGAACCGCTGTACCACGTCTTTCAAAAATCCTGGAGCACCGGGGAAGTAACTGAGGATTGGAAAAGAGCTGATGTGTTTCCCATCTTCAGAAAAGGGAGAAAAACAGACCCAGGAAACTACAGACCAATCAGCCTAAAATCAATACCTGGGAAGATACTTGGAAAAGATAATAAAAAAACAGATCTGTGAACATCTAGAAACAAATAAACGTATAACTAGAAGACAGCACGGGTTTGTTAAAAACAGATCATGCTAAACCATACTTATTTCATTCTTGGATCAAATTGGTGGACCAGGAAAATGCTGTGAATATAGTATACCTGGACTTCAGCAAGGCATTTGACAAAGTAAACCACAACCTACTAGAAAAAAGTGGGATAGACAGCATCACCACCAGATGGATTTGTAACTGGCTGACAAACCATACTCAAAGAGTAGTCCTTAATGGTACTACATCTACATGGAGGGAACTAAGCAGTGGGGTACCACAAGGTTCTGTCCTAGGCCCAATACTCTTCAACATCTTCATAAACAGCTTAAATGAGGGAATAGAAGAGGAACTTATCAAATTTGCAGATGATACTAAGCTGGCAGGAATAGCCAACACCCTAGATCAGACATGTCAAACTCACAACGTCACATGACATTGTGTGACATATCAGAGTTTTCCCCCATTGTCAGCAATGGGGTGGGCACAGTTTCATCGTGATGCGTCCGGCCTGTGGTCCAGCAGTTTGACACCCCCGCCCTAGATGATAGGCTCAAGATCCAGAGGGATCTTTGACAGACTTGAACACTGGGCCCTATCTAACAAAATGAAATTCAATATAGAGAAAAGTAAAGTCTTACATTTAGGCAAGAAAAACCAAAAGTACACATATAGATTGGGTGAAACCAGGCTTAACAGCAGTAACTGTGACAGGGATCTTGGACTCTTAGTGGGCAATCAGT